ACCACCTTGGTCCTCAGTCGCTCCAGATCTCCGCCTCAGTCGCCAGAGCCCTCGGCTCCACCCTGGCCCTCTGGAACCTCGGCATCCCCCTGGCTCGTTGGCTCTCTGCCTCGGGCTCCTCCACCACCTGCTCCGCCGCTGTTGGTCGGCCCCCTGGAGTCGGCAGCCATTCCTCCTCCATGGCTCCTCCCTCCGTCAGCTCCACCGTGGGCCACCGTAATGGCTTTGGCCTGGGTCCAGCTTGGCTCCTCCTGCTCCAGGCCCCTCCTGTCTCCTCCCTGGCTTCTCCCTCCTTCGTCACCCCCATGGACTCTGTCTGCCGGCCCCCTCCCGCATGTCCGTCCTCCTCCTGAGCGCCTCCCAAGTTCCCACCGTAATGTCAGGATTCTGGACTGTCTGTGTCATGTTTTGCCCCGGTTTCTGTTCCTGTTTGTCCTTATTTGGTCATGTTCCTGTCCTTGTTTAGTTTGATTATGTTCCATTGTCACCTGTGTTTCCCCATTATCCTTTGCATTTAAGTCTCTGCCTTTGCGTTCAATGTTTGTCGGGTCTACTCGTAGTGTTCGTGTGTTCCTGCCGTTTCCATTGTGGATATTCCCTTGTGTTTCCTGGATTAAAGACTATTCCTTGTACTCTACATTTCTCTCTCGTTCCTCCAAGCGCAGATCGTGACAGCACTCCCTTATTTTGTCCAATCAAATGTTCTCAAGAATGATAATTTCCCAGCTATAGCAAGTCATGTTCGTAGTTAACTGTTAACTGTAAACATAAACATAGTACAGATAAAAATTGTCAAATTAGTTTTATTTTCCAATATTATTAAATATGTATCAGAAACGGTTAATTAAATTCAGTGGGAGTCTATACTCATACAGTCTTTGTTTCTCATTTGCTCATGAATGTAGTGTATACACATATTAATAAACATGACTGGTATTCCATCTCCCCTGAACTTTTTAATTACAAACTCAGAGCAGCAGAACCGTAACCCTACTTATCTCACTTCAAATGATAGCGATTCACACCTTTCATTAATAAGTTGCTTTTTAGGGAAAGAAGAATTAATTACTTTCATTGGATGCACATTTCCTCATATATTTTTCGCACCTGAGCTGTAGAAACTGAACTCTGCAGTTGTGGTGTTGCATACAGTAAGCAAGATAAGCCCTTATTTACATAATTACCATTTTCTCATTAGTCATCCCTAAAATAACCAATTAGTGAGCTGAATTTTGAGTGATTTGGACTTTAAAAATATTAAACTGGTTTTGCAAAGTCTTGCAGCATCTTTTGAGATATAAAAAAGATCCCTAATAGGATTAGCTAGTATACATTTACATTCAAATCCCTCTGACAGTGCCTTGTTGAAGTGAAACTATGGACAAACAGCTTTGCTGGTTGTTACAAAGTGGTGAATGCTAATTCATTAACCATACTTTTTAAAAGGCTTTTTTTAAGCTTTGATGATTAAATCCTTCAGTTGGTGTTTTTATGGACAGTTATGCATGGTAACGATAATAAACTGCTGCATAAATCACAGTGAGTATATTTTCAGAAATAAGGTCCAGTGCAAGATATTCAGTTTTTCCTGGGGAAATTCCAATTTCGAGAAGTACTATCACCACTCAACAAAAATAATCTGGTTTTACCTGTGCTTATAGTGGCTGTAATGGCTGATAGTGATGAAAAGGATCTGTGTTTTTTTGTTTTTGCTCTCTGTCTAAAGAAATAAATCAAGTCCTGAGGCCACTTTTAAATTTTATACTGTTATTGCCGTGAGACAGTACTGATTGAGTGTTCATAACTACTGGAATTTTCCAACAAAACTAACCTGCAGGAGTTCTACTGTTGCTACACTGATCGCATACCTCGATATGTCTGTGACTGCTTTTGGTACTGTATGTTCTTACTATTTGTCCTTGAAACATAAGATATAAAGAAACTGAGCTTTAAAGGAATAGTTCACTCAAAAATGAAAATGTACTCACCCTCAGGCCATCCAAGTTGTAGAAGAGTTTGTTTCTTCATCAGAACAGATTTGGAGAAATGAATCATTACATCACTTGCTCAACAATGGATCCTCTGCAGTGAATGGGTGCCGTCAGAATGAGAGTTCAAACAGCTGATAAAAAATCACAATATTTGTTTGGACTGTTTTCTCATGTAAACAGTGCTTGATCTGTGCATATTTCTTTCCTGATTCAGGCGAGATGACCTTTTCACTGGAGAAAGCAGTATTATGGATAGAGGACTCATATTTTAGCTGGAAGGTTTGAAGTTTTGCTTCACAAGACATTTAATAATGGACTGGAGTCGTGTGGATTACGTGTTGATTATTGTGATGTTTTTATCAGCAGTTTGAACTCTCATTTTGATGGCACCCATTCACTGCAGAGGAGAGCAAGTGATATAATGCTAAATTTCTCCTAATAGATTCCAATAAGGACACAAGCTCATCTATATCTTGGATGGACTGAGGGTACATTTTCAGCAAATTTTCATTTTTTGGTGAGCTTTTACTTTATGCTATCTTCGGGAAAACCCCACATTCAATCACAACCCTTTTTCTGAGCTTCAACATAGCATTGCGTGTATCACTCTAAAGATTAATACATTACACTCAGAGTTGCGTTTTAATGGAGTGGCTCATCATTAGCTCTGTTAAAGCAACCGCTACGGTGTAGGGGGACTGTTAGGGCAGGGCAGACTGCTTTTTTACTGTCAACATCAATACGCTCTTAGTTGTTAGACAGCCTATTTGGGTCGCAGATATACTTAAGAACCATCATATGTGCCTAAATCCAAATCTTGACAATTTTAATGAAAAACTATGCGAGCATTTCTGAGTTCCTAAAGTGTTTTTGATCATTAAAAAGGTGCAATTTCTTATAATAACTCGATTTGTGACTCTGTCTGAGTATGTACAAAAGCCTTTGATTTTGTGCTGACTTTCATGTTCTATAAAGATCAGCTGTCTGCAGTGTACTTCACATTAGCATGCTTAAAGGAGACTGATGTTCTGAGAGCACGTGTTTAATGAGATTATAGCATCAGGGAAAGGAATATTAATGCAAAGGCATATGTACAGTATAAAAATAATTGTGCATGCTCGTAACTTTGAAGATGCATATATTAAAGGAACTCTGTGTGTATTGGCACTTTCTATCAATGCAGCTGGAACTGATGCCTATCAGTCTGCTGGTATGAAATAGAGAGAGGCTGCCAAAGTTCTGTGATGACCATGCAGCTATTTTAGGCAACAGAAAGGGTCTGGCATTCATTGCATATGCTTTCTTTATAATTGGAAGCAGCAAGAATAATATAAGTATATGACTGATGCTCATCATCTATTAAATAAATCATCATCTATTATTTCATGAAAACTCATGTACAGTATAAAGAGCAGTGTTTTCTATCACAAAACATACAATCATTATTTTATAAGAAAAAAGTAGGAATTGTCTTATAATTTATGCAGAATCACATTTGTTTGTGTTTTATTTAATGAGTTTTTGTTATCAGTCGTGTACGTTGGAGTGTTTTGGAGTAATTTAATGACATGTACTGTAACTTAAACATACAGTCACCTGTTACCCCATAATGCTCTTGTTTTTGGCAGTTAAATACAATAAACATTTATTATAATGTTACCATTTCCAAAATAGTTTTGTTCTTATTTTAAGCAAGATTTTGTTAGATGTATGCTTCAACTGTTGAAATAAATAAATACATGTTTTCTCTGAAAACGACTAAATATGTTGTGATTTAAAAAAAAAAGTATTTTTAAAGCATGTTTAGCCTAGATACCCATTTTAAATAATAAAAAAATTATAATAAAGGAATAAGTTCCTCGTTTATATGTGGTATGTGGTTACTATATTGTTCTTTTCAAGGATCATTTAAGGACAACAATTCATTATTCCACACACAACATTACTCTACGAACCACACGTGTAAAACAAACTCATGTTAACAATAATGGCTTAACACTGCGCACATTTAGAATGGGAAATACTGGCGAGAAAACAGCGCGACTGATTCCTCCATATTTAGATGGCTCCAAGCTTATTGATGAATGAAGTTAACATTTTTAAAATCAGATAAACAGGGTGATTTTTCCTGAAAGAAGCTAGCTGGCTCACGCGAGCCCCGTATAAACCCTCGAATGAATTATAGTGGCATGCTCCGCTACTTCACTCCAATTGTCCGCAGGCTGCAGATGTTCTTCGCCAATCCAGCACTGCAGGTGCAGTTAATGCCGGAGATGCTGATCGTGGCTAGATATCCATCTCTTTGCTTGTTTCTTTTCCTCACATAGAGCTTTTTTTCTGCTTACCTCCCAGATTTCGCTCTAGTGCTGCTGCGTGAGGTGTTGGATCCCGCAGTCTGACCGGCTTTGCGGTGCGTCTTCAAGAGCATCATCAACAATATTTTTAGTGGATATATTACGAACAGTTCCGTGTGCTGCCGCATCATGTTGACATAACTCTGCTGAAGAACTGAAATTAATGAATGGCCGGAGAGGAGCGATGAAATGAATTAACTCTTTGATGTGGAGGGAAGGAAAGGAGTTTTATACTGCATATACCGCCGAGGAAACAGGGGAATTAGGTTTTAAACACGTTTCTTGTCGCTGAGTGTTCTTGTTGAAGTTGGCTTTGCTCAACAATGGAATGAATTGGAATGGATATTCTTAGAAGTGTTCCTTAGAGATGGATGGAAGATTTTCCAACCTTTCCCCTTTATGAATCTTTTTCGTGACTCTGGAAAGGTGGAGCGTTCAGGAAAAGCTAATGACGGACCTATTAATCCACCAAGAGCACCAGAGGGGTTTGGAAACGTTTGGATGGAAATGTTTGCACCTTTTTCTGGTTTTAATGCATAGTTGTGGATCTCTGCTGGAATCTCCATTGTAATTGATTAATATAGTGAAATGAATTCAGGGCTGTTGACATATTTGCTGTGATTTTTGCTTCTTTTTTTCGTAAATATCCATATTTTCTTCTGAAAGTATTCCGATCTAAATGGAATTAGTTGAGAAAGCCCTTTGTGAAAGGAGTAGACATGGTACATGGGAACAGGTTCCTTCACGGTGAGTCCAGCTGCCAGTTAACTTCACTCTCTTCTCTGTTTCATTTTACGCATGAGGTCTATTCGCAATTACCGGTCAGTATCGCTTTCTTCCTTTAGGAGCTTTGTGTGTGATTGTAAGCAGATTGAAATAATTTCATTTAATATACTTAGAGTGATATGCAACTGCATTACATTGCAGTCTATATCATATTTTCCCAGTTGTGTTGTTTTCTGCTGGAAAATCCAGTTTAAGATGGTATCTGGTATCTAGCTGGTCTAAGCTGATTGTTAGCTGGTGCAAAATTGGTTATTAGCCGGTCCAAGCTAGTGATGTGGTAGTCCACAAGCTGGTAAACCATCTTGGACCAGCAACAAACCATCTATGAGCTGGTCATACCAGCTTTTTAAGATGGTTTTTACATGGTAGCTTTCTAGCTGGCCTAAAATGGTTGTTAGAAGCTGGTTGTTAGCTAGTTTAAGTTGGTAGAACATCTTGGAACAGCAACAAACCGGCTGCTAGATGGGCATATACATTTAAATTGGTTTGTAGCTAGTCAACCAATCGGCGACCAATTGTATTAGCTACCATATTCCAAATAGCTACCAGATTAAGGTGAAATTATAAAATCATCTGTTTCCCAAATGTACAGTACATCCATAGTAAATGAATCATTCTGAGAAATAAATGCAAAATAAATACATAATAAATAACAACAAATAGAAATAAAAGTACAAGAAATGTTATCCTGGTTTAGACCAAATTCCTTAACGATACGATTTCAGGTCTTGAGTTTCAGCTATTCCTACAATGCATTTTCAAATATCCGTTTTCTGATTTAGCGCAAGACTCCACATGGTTGTATGCTGTTTTGATCTTAAATCTTTTGTCACAGTTGTTGCAGGTCTTCTCGTGCTTGGGTTGTCTGGGGCAACAAAGAAGGAAACCGGTAATGATGTTTTGTCACAGAATACCCACCCACTCTCCATCTCCATGTTTCCTGGCAATCTCTGACATTTGACTGCTCTCTCTCAGTGAAAAACAATTCAGGAGTGCAGCCAGCAGGGCAGTGTGGAACCTGGGTGAAAGAACCAGAGGGAGGCCTCTTCACCTCACCCAATTACCCAAACAAATATCCTCCAGAGCGAGAATGCATCTACATCATTGAAGGCAAAAAAATAAAATAATAAAAACTTACAACACATACAAATCTGTCATGTGACACTTGGATGGTGGGGGTTTTCTTGTAATCAGATGGTTTATATGTGATAATCTCTTTGCTGTCATAATATAATTACAAACAGTGCTAGATAGATAAATAAATAATATATAAATAATAATAAAACAACAATCAAAATAAAACACTTACTAAAAAGATGTTATTTTTTGCATTTTGTGCATTGTAATGTTTTTGAAAGACAAAAGCCTTCCAAATACATAATAATACATGGTTAAATAACCCACTGAGTAATAATTCAAATAAAAATAATGCTCATCAGTAGTTGATGCAATGTTGAAATGTTAAGACTTGTGTGAATATGTATTCATGTAGTCAATAATAAAGTAACTGTAGTCTGATTACGAGTATTTTAAAATGTAGGCCTAATATAATCTAATTACAAGTAACTATTTTTTTTAATCTGATTACACAATCCAGATTACATGTAGTTAGTCACTTCCCAGCACTGATTACAAATATTATGAGATCTTATTAATAAATCCCACTATTAAACCCATGTGGTCTTCAAACTTCGGAGCTAATTCCTTTTGTATTAGTATATTTTTTACATCCTTTCAAAATGTTAGTCATTTTGTGTGATTATCATGTCACAGTGGAAATAAATGCATATGAATGCAATCCATATCACCAAAACTTCCTTTGTATGCTAGTAATGGCAGACATTACCAACCCGATCTTGTGGCAAAACATAACTATTTTACGAGGTCGAGATTTTCATAATAATGTGATTCATTCAGAAATGTACAATATTTAAGAAAAAAAATATCACAAAGGTTCATCTATAACCTAATTGGATTGAGCAGACTATACAAAAAGGTATGAATAAGATTATACAAATGCAGACAATTAGCCACCAGTTCACCTACCAAACCGTAGTCACGAATTGCCATGAGAGTGTGTTGGACATGACATCATCCATCATAAATTACAGACGTCAGTCTTGATTTTAATTTTTTTTCTCCTTTGCAGCTCCCCCAAGACAATGCATTGATCTTTTCTTTGATGAAAAGTATTCAATAGAGCCTTCATGGGAATGTAAATTTGACCATATTGAAGTCCGGGATGGGCCCTTTGGCTTTTCTCCAATAATTGGACGCTACTGCGGCCAACAGAACCCTCCATATATCAGATCGAGCGGCCGTTACCTATGGATAAAATTTGTTGCGGATGGTGAATTGGAAGCGATGGGATTTTCTGCAAGCTACAATTTCACAGCAGGTACATACAGTTTTATGCTTCGTTTATGCAGTGTCAGTAACATTTATGTTTGTGACAGATTGATTAATTTTTTAAACAGCGAGTTTTGGGCTTTTCCTGATGCTCTTTTAAAGCTCTGGATCCAGTTATCACTCACTAATCTCAGGATATTGTTATCCTCTGCATGTCAACTTGAATTCATCATGCAATCAGTAACTGCTCTTCAAAATCCATGCAGCTGATTCATATAGCGATTATTGTGAGTCCATGTTGGTTCTGTCAATGATCCTAATCTGCAATTGAGTTTATTAGTCATATTCTATTGCAGTAATAAAGAGGCTGTATGTCCTCATTTGTCTAAAACCTTTTAAATTGTTTACCTTGATCAATTCTTAGTACTACAATGAATGCTGGCAATCCTTCCAAGAACCTGATTTAGATGTTAAAGATTGCCAATAAGATACTAAGTGGTAACAACATCATCATTCCGGAAAAATTTAAGGGGGTCTGAATACTTTCCGTACCCACTGTAATTGATATCAATTACCCGTAATGGAATCCTTTGAAAATATATAGCACATTGCACAACGGTTGTTTTTATCAGATGCCTCAGCCTCATTCTCAGTGTGTTATTAAACTTCACTGCTTTCTGATCTTTTGCCTTGATTTAAAATTTAATCTCTGAAGTGCGTGTGAACGGCAAGTAGGCCTAATACTGTACCTGAGTTCAAGTGAGAGATTTTTGCGTAAATGGTGTGCAAACTGAGCAGTGATAGATATTGTGTGAAGAATGCCAAAAGCAATATTTGAATAAAGCTGCCACTAAAGTTGTAAATGCAGAAAAATATCACTGAACGGTCAAGCTTTAAGGGCCTTGCAGATGAATTGCACAGCTGTGGCACTGGGTGCAAGAAAAAGCAGCACACAATTGAAGGTAGCACTGATTTAGAGTCATACTGTATCTGAGAAATGAGTTATGAGCCGAGGCTTTTTTTTCCATCCTTATTGTGAGTCAGGAGGAAATTATTTTGCCAAGTTTGGAGAAACTGTTCAGCGTGAATGGATTCAGACTCTCGCTTTGCAACTTGCCAGGAAAGAAACATAGCTTCCTCTAGTCTTGATAAGGAATATCAGTGGCATATAATTTACATAATTAAGGAGATAAAAGTCCCTGAATTCACTTCCCTTGATGTTCCCCCAAAAAAGTGGAGAGCGCATCTGCTGTGCTGTAGCCAATGGTAACACATGCTAATACGGAAGGTACAACAGATGAATGAAAAGCAGGGGATGAGGAAGGCTAGAAATGGCATGTATTCATCTTCCTTTTTCACATTTGTTCTCTACAAAAAAGAACATTACTGTATTTAACTGAAAATGTATGCTGCTTTTTATCACAAAACAGCCCCTCAATCAAAGTTGTGCCTGTCTGCAGTGTGAGAGAGGAGGAATGTATTCTATGTTCGTCATGCTGGGGTTCTGGGCGGCATAAGTTCTGAAATTTCCTGCATAAGATCTCATTAACAATGCACTTGCTTGCTTCAGTCATATCAAATCGAATACATCAGTGGAAGTACAACTGAATTACAGATCTGATCTCAAGACTATTTTAGTGTGGAGCCATGTGATCAATATCATATAGTCGTGAAAAAACATGGAAATATCAGTGTGATATGAGGCCTGGACAAGTCAAAGATTTGGAAACTGCGAATAAATGTTTAAAAAATACCATAATACCAAAACGTTTTTCATGACATTTGTTTCCGTAACAGTTCTCGCAGTTTCTTCTGACAATACAGATTAAACAGAAAAAAAAAAATAATAATAATAAAAAATAGCCTGAAAGTGCCTGGTATTATTTATTATTCAGAGTAGAAACTTTAAAACGACTAGTGATGTCAATTCCTAGGCTAATGACTCTTATGAGCTGTTTTTTAATTAATCGAAACACACAGTATTACCAGTGAAGTCCAGTTCTCGAGCAACTGATTTTGAGTCAGTTCTGTTTAGTTTATCAGAAATGTACAGGACGGCTAGTCCAATTCTCAAGCGATTGACTTTTATATGAGCTGGTTTGTGGATCAAAAACATACAGCGTGACTAGTGAAGTCCAGTTCTGTAGGGAATGAATCTTATGAGCAGATGCTATAAAATAGATCAGAAACAAACAGCGTGACTGGGGTAGTCCTATTCTTGAACGAATGACTCTTATGAGCTGATTCTTTTATAGTGAATCAAAAACAAAACTCGAGCAGTGTATTGCGATTAATCTGACTCACTTACTGAACAGTACTCTGTTATGTTGTTCATAAATGGATAGTTCACCCAAAAATAAAAATTCAGTCATTATTTACTCAGTCTGTTGTTGTTCTACTCTTTTTCCCCCCCCCCCCCTCGCTCGCTCTCATCCATAATGGCATTGAATAGCAACCAGCTTCAAATTTTAAAGACAGAGATGGAAAGTGTAACAGAAAGATCCCATATGTGCCATATTTTTTATTAATCCTGATTTCTCAAAATGGTGCTTATGTGCTTTACCTTGGCAAGCCAAGGTGAACTGCTGTACTAATACAGTCTCATGAACACAGTGGCGGCGCTAGGGCGGGGCTTGACGGGGCTATAGCACCATCAGAAACTTGCTATTAGCTCCGGCACAGCAGTAAAAAAAACTGATGGAGCTTTCTAACGCTGCATTAACGGCACATATTCTCTGAGACAACGAGAGACGAAACTACTTCAACATATGCTGATAATGGTATATAACTGTCTTAAATTATTCCCTTAATATTTCTCTTGTGGCAGAGAAATTGTGAAAAACATGAGAAGAAACATATTTCGCGTTAAACAGGTTGTTTTTGAAAATCGGTGCACTAAATAAAGCTGCTCTTAATTTTCATTGATGACTGCAGTGTTAATAATTTTAATTATAGGCCTATAATTCATTGTATAAATTAATAGACCTGTTTTTTTTTTTACTTTTTAAAAACATTTTCAATGAGGAGTAAGCTAATAGCCTAAACTTGAATTATCCTCACAGCGCGTCATGCCGTGATGCGCTATGAAATTATTAAGGGGGAATAATTTCATTTCATGTAATTTAATAATAAAAGTAGCCTAATAATAAGAATATTTGGCCTAATAATAAGAAGAATGTAACAGGCCTACATTAATTGGAAATGCTAAATCCTCTTAATACTGCCAATTTGTGATGCTTTTGACAATATCTCTGGCTATCGTCGACACATGATACGATGCATCTCAGCACGGGGAGGTTATCAGTGCGTGCCCGTCCGCTATGCCACTGTGTATAAAAAAAATAGTTGTATGAATTATCGGCACTTTATCTATTGTAAAAAATGGTTAGAATTTACCATGTTTTCCTGCCAGTTTGCATTTAGAGTGACTGACACTTGATGGTCAGAAAAAATTACTAAATAGATTAAAAATAAATAAATAAATAAAATAAAACAATGAAAAAAGAAAGAAATCCCTACTTTCTCTCTTTTCTATGTGCGTTCATAAATTGTATTCATTTGTAAGTGTCATATTTGGCAGTTGGCATTAGGAGTTATATTGCTAATAACAGTGGCATATGAGAAGTTTAATACAAAGTTTAATAAAAAATAATAATAATAATAATTTGCCTTTTTCGAAGCTGCTGTATATAAAAAACACAAGGTGGCTGAATTTGCATGCTATTTAGATAGCTGAAACTTATAGACGTTCATTACTTTCACTCAATTTAATTAGTTTTTAGCACCCCCTCTGAACTGTTAAGCCCCTCCTTAGCACCCCCAACAAAAAACTCCTGGAGCCGCTACTGCATGAACGTGTTGTTGTGCACAACAGAACAATGGCCACAATAATGATTTTAACTGAATTAAGCATTTAAATTTTGGTTTGGTTTTCACCAAACCCTATCATATGCCTTCAGGACACTTGGAAATTACGGCACAAGTTTCATGGGATCATTCTGTGATGCTTTTGCACTTTTTTTAAAAAGCTTGAAGCTGGTCACTAGAGTACTATCAAGGTTCCCTTGACAAAAAAAAATAGGATTTATCCATTGGCTTTTAGATTATTCCAGAAAAAAAGCTCAACAAAAATTAATAATTCTTAAATGGTTTGTTCATAACGATAATCTTCACAAATGAACACAACCTATATGAATTGTGAAGCCTAAATATAATTAAAACCTAAATATAATTGGCTAAACGCTAAAGTTTCCATAAGCTCTTTCAGTCTCTATTAAAAAAAAACTTTTCCCTGAATGTTTGAAATATGATCGTTTGCAAAGACGTGATTATAAACACAAGGCTGTGAAAGTATGCTAGTAGTCAGTTTAATGTCCCTGACAACCTCAGCAGTCTGATTTAGCCACTTGTTAGCAACCACCTATTCCCAGACACATGAAAGCTTACGAAATTCATGAGTGGGGTGTTAATAATCTATTTTATGTTGTAGAATAAATCTTGAGCTTGTGTTAACCACAGACCTTATTTCAGGCTTTTAACCAAAACCTGATTCAAACAAACCATTGACTTCTGGACGATGAAAGTGAAAGTGCCAAAATGCTAACTTGTTTCCAGGTTTTGGCCAACAAAAATATGTAATAGTGCCAGCAGATTTTTATTTATTTCTTTTTTATTTCTCCTTCTCCTATAATGACTGTGTTTAGAAGAATCTAAAATCTTAAATTGCTCACAATTCCCATCCCTAATTGAATGTACTCAAATCTTTAAAAAGTCATTGAAACTTAAAGCATTCAATTGAAATTTGTCTTTGTGACTCTCTAAAAAAAGTTACATTAAATGTTCAGAAGGTGTGGGAATGCTATAAACCACTGTAAACCTTGAATCTGGACAACATGCATCCTAACATAGGTAGGATATTCGAACATCACATGGTTTTAATACTTGAGTTTCCCAATTTGGTTATAAAGTAATTAAAGGTGTTTTCACCCAAGGTTAGTTTCATCTGAAATTGTAGATGCATGGCATAATCCGTTGCTGAAGCCAAACTTT